GACACCTATAAGCATGACTTTTTTTACACTAAACAAAATGACAGTTGACTCAGAATAAAATATCCCACGAATAACCCACCCTACGCCATGTTTGAATAAACTGCGCAGCCCACCCACCCCACCTCAGGGAGATGTACGGCTCTGGTTATATCGGAGTGCGGGCAAATACGACAGCGTTGTATTTTACACGTACGAACCTTTCCAAGCCACATGTGTCTTACACAACTGGATCGCATTCAGCCACATGGAAGATAGGGGGTTTGCCATGATAATTTATCTCCTGAATTTTCCCGGTTCAGCGCTTACATAGCCACCCAGTTTGCGGTGCAGGAAAACTGCTAGTTTGCATGATTAATCCAAGATTTCTGCAACTCCTCTCGTTCCACGACATTTCTCAGAAAAAAAAGTGGGGAAGAGGAAAGGCACTTTGAAAAGGGTTATACCGAGGGAGAAATACGGGAGGGGGATTATTTTTTTGCTGAAGGTCTATACAACGCGATGGTGTGCCTTGATTGAGACATCGCGGCATAAGTTTCAGTGTAAGACTAACCTGGAATAAGAGCGAGTGCGTCGACGAGTCGCCACAAGAGCGTTCGATAAGCTGTAGGAGCGTCCAACAGAAAGCTGCCTGGTGAATAAAGGCGGCGAAGGACGTTCTCTTTCAAAATAACATAACACAACCAGCAATCTAGAGAATTTTCCCTGCAAACGGAGAGAAAATCGGATTGTGCAGCAGAAAAGGAAGGCCGATGCAAACAATCGAAGAAAAACGAGTGAAAGCGAGAGCGATCTGATGAGGCTATTTTAGCCACAGAACTCACCTAAAAAGCTCTTCGAAAAACTGTTCAACACGAGAATTCTCGGACTTCTCGCTCGAATCCAATTTGTTCACGATAGAATAAACGTCTTTCGTGGCAGGACCTGCAAAACTCGGCTGTACTTTATGAAACATAATTCCTCAAGAGAAAAACCTATACCTGGCGCAGTGACAGTGCGTATCATACTCCACGAGGAGACCTCATCCTTGAGACCATCGGAGACCAATGCGGCCAAGGCGGTGAACAGATGATTTGGCTCATCGCCTCGAGCAATGGCTGCAACAGCATCGACGACTGCTTCAACCAGACATCGTTTTGTTGAGTAGATTGGCAAGCCGACCACCGACAGCTCTCGGGCTCTGATCTGTTGACTACCAGATGACCTGAAATGTGAATTTACTGCAATCCAGAAGAAAATTTACTGCAATTCCAGAAGAAAACTTGCAAAAGGAAACTCAAGCACAGTAACATAGCAGGCAACCGCCATGCGCGTTTTCGTTTAAAACTGTGTTCTACTGCAACACAATTTCTTATTGACTAGCAGTGTCGTAGTAGTTTCGCTCTTACTCACGTAATCCAATTAATTTGCATTCTTAAACTTCTCAATCTTTATCATTTTCAACTTTGTTCCTCATAAACTTTCTGCAATTGATTTTTTCTTCCTTTCCTTACTGAAGAGCACGGAAGGAGGAATATGCTTTTGCTCGGCTTCCGTCTAAGGGCACGTGCGAAACGGAAGCTGAGCTATCTCTTTGCTTCCGACCCCCCTCAATAATTCTCATTTATTAGATTTTACAACATAGTCCATTAATTTCAATTTCAATGATTTTATATGGGTAAAAGATTTAAGCTTCAACCTGGACTGGTCGCCACTAGCCACTCGGACTATAGCTCCTTATGGATTACAACCCTCCTCCTAAACGGCATGACGATGAGCTTGACGATGCCGGCTTAGGCGCTCGAGTGCCAATGCCAAGATGGACAAGGATATCTGTAGGTAAAGTGCGGTACCATTTCAGATGTGTGACATTCAGCGGCAGCCACACTACGATCGTTCATCCATCCATACTCAAAAAGCTCCAATACACGCGGCGTCGTGGGTGCAGAAATGGCCCCACCATTGCATCTTGCCCGTTTGTACTTCTCCCGTTTCTGAGGACATGAGGAGGGAAGTGAAGAGGAGGGACGCACCAGTAAAGGAGGGATAGCTTGTTACGGGTGTAGGTTTGTGTAGGTGAGTTTGGCCCGGGGCTCGCCTTTTTTTTGTCTTTTTCCTTCAGCAAGCTAGAAGACTGTATCATATCGTTTGTATCGGTCGTTTTATAGCAGTTGTTCTCGCTTAACAGCTTTAGCGGAGTCTTATAACGGGCTTGCCGGTGCGACAAACTCAGGCTTCTCGGCCAGCCTTGTCCGCTTTCATTTGCAGCGACAAGGCTCGCAGGGTTTCTGAATGTCCTCCTCCACCCAACCCACTTTGAAACAATCCTCATACTTCAGTCATCATCAGCCTAACCTCTTCCCCCTAGCCTGAGCCCCTGATGCACCAAAACACTCCCTTCACAAATCTGCTAAGAGAGACAGGTGGCGCCTTGCGAAAAAGTTACCTTTCGGTATTCGTTCACTTCCTCTTTACCAATAAAAACCTGACAAGCCCTTATTCACGGCTGAGGCAAATAGGGCATGTCATTTTCTTTTCAAACAAATCCCATTTTGGACACATTACCATCAAAGGCCCCGCACAATAGCGTTTACACGACCTAAACGACCCTGTCTCCTCATTGTTTGCATTGGTGGAATGCCTTCACAGGACAAAACCATGACCACTCACTGGGAGAAGAGAACATGAATGAGAAAGGCTTTAGGACAATGGAAGGCAGAAACTACATCATTTGTACTTGGACTCGGTAGAAAACGATGTTCTTGAACCCCTTTTCCCACGACATTCACTACATTCAGTCTACTCACTCAGCCACAAGCTAACCATAAGCTTCTTTTAAAAAACTAGCCATAAAAGCATACACAAAATCGAAGCCGTTGTTCGCATGAGCCATGCAAAAATGGTTACGCTTTGGCCATTACATCCACTTGGTGAGCAGCTTATATAGCCAATAATTCTTCTGCATCCACTGCGCATTCTGGTGCCCGTTCAACAAATTATTTACACCCACTCAGGCCATCTGCGCTTTTCAGCGAATTGATCATTTAGGCTGCAAGACTAGAGAGCATGACGAAACCGCTCACTTTCAAAAGGAATCACTTGGTCTATCAAAGAGAGAAGGCAGCCCAGAGAGCTTGGCAAATTTTCAAATCACACTTCACTAGCTTTCCCCTTTAATGGTACTCGCCCGGTGGCGATTACTGTCAAAGCTGACGTTAATATAAAAGAGCAAGCGATACAGGACTTATCGGTTGTTACCTGCGGCCATGGAGCGCCAGCGGCTAATCTGCCTACTGCAGACCTGCACACATCTCCCACCTAGCCTCAGAAAGGTGATTTAAATTCAAACATTCCGGGGGAAACTCCCAGACAGCCAAGTGTACATCGTTCTAGCCCGTGAATGAACTCGGTGACACCTTGCAGCGTTCATGAGTGATTAAAGCCGAGATCTCCGATACTCGTCGGTATAGCAGCGGCGCGAACCCCTCCGGCGGCCTAATAAAAAGTCCAAAACCCTTACCACTACTTAGACCCGCGTCCGCCGGTAGGTGTCGCAAGAATGCCCTTATAAGATTCTTGGGCGAGATAGGGTAACGCCGTATCCCTTTGCCAACTCCCCTGACTGAGAAACCAGGGAATCTCAAGTTCTTGATGAGATTGTATTCGCCTTGGCTAATATGAAAGCCCTAGCGACGCTATTTCGAAGGACGAAAAAAAGTACGGGGAAGATTACACGAATTTGAGGATGAAGGGGCATTCACTGAAGAAGACGTTTAGCAAGTGTTACACCGGTCCCGTAAATTACATCCTCCCAGGGTAATCAAGCGTTCAGATGTTCAAGATCCTCAATGTCGAACGTCATCAAAAGAGTCTTGCGGGCTCTCGCTGACAAAACCCAACAATGTCAAAAGCTTCAAACTCCCCTAGGACTAGGAAGGCCGGCCGAATTCAAGTGGAACGGTGTAACTATTTGTCTATTACCGTCCCACCACTTGCGAGAACAGACGTAAAGAGCTAAATGAAGATCAATCAAACAGATGGTCTACAGTAATTTGGGCACTCAGTGCGTGGTAGGTCTCCCTGTCAGTCATCAAGGCCCCTAAAAACGGCCCATGTGGTCGGGCTCGGATTTTGTGGAACCTGTCATAGGGTGACGTCCGCCATTCACACGTTTCGGGCTACTCATCATTTCCAGATATAAAAGAACACACCTTCTACTACCTTGGCATAGCTCATTGACGTTTCTGCCGTCGTATCCGGCGAGAGCAGTCGCACAACACAGACGCGATGCGTCGAATAGCCAATTCGGTGGATTGTATTCTGAACCATATGGCGTTAAGACGAGTCGCTCACGCCTTGGCACCACTGTGACAACAAACTATTAGGTTGTCCGGAAAGTTCTTAGCGTTTTGTGCACCTAATCTTTGTACATTCACTGCTGATTAAAAACTCATTCTGCCTTGCTTCTCAGTAGCACATCCTGTAGAGAATTTCTTGCGCTATCTGATGGTATAATTGCCGTTTCACCATTGCTTGATAAACCCCTTTTTTCAAGATTTTTTCAAGCATGTGAAAAGAGCACTTCGGACGATTTTTTTCTTCGACTATAAATTGGGGCAATCCGCAATCGAAACAGCTCAACAAATTAACCAGGTGTGGAGGCCCAATAGTGCTAGAGAAAGCACTGTGCCGCAATGGCTCAACAATTTTCGTTCTGGAGATTTCAGCCTTGAAGATGAACCTCATAGCGGTCGACTTAACAATTCTACTGAGCGAATTTTGAGGGGATTTCGGAAAACTTGATCATCCCAAAACAGTTCGAGAGATAGCAGAACGAGTCTAGGTAGGCTCTTGGCAAATCCACTGTGCAGAGGTTTGGAGCGGATTGAAGCTCGAAAAAACTCGACATTGGGTGCCCACCAATCGATACGCGGGCCGGCTCGCGCGTACATGTGACCGCCCAGGAATCAGGACGTTCTCGGGAGGTTCCTTCGTTTCACTGCTTTTTGCGCAAAAGAAGGACCTTTTTGAACGATTTGTCACCGTGATGATAAATGTGATCATGTGTGATAAACAGAGACGCTTCCGGACATGGTTGGACTTTGGCACCACCACCGACGGTAAATTTTTCAAGCGCAACCCTCGGCTCGAAAAAAAATTCTGGTCAGGTTTGGTGGTCATCGGCTGTTGTAATCCACTATACTTTTCATCACCAGGCCAAACCATCACAGCAGAACCCTACTGTGAACAAACCGACCAAATGTACCGAAAATATTGTCAGCTGCAGCCAACACTTATCAAAAGAAAGGGTCCGATTCTTTTGCATGACAACGCCCGCCCACACGTTTCACAAATCACTATCCATAAATTGAACGAATTGGGAGTTGAAGTTCTACCTCACCCACCATATTCTCTAGACCTTTCACCAACCGACTGTCACCTTTTCAGACATTTTCAGAACTTTCCTGCTGAGAAATACTTCATCAAACAGGACCAGGCAAAAAAGACCCTTCGCAGATTTCGTGGATTCTCGACCACCCAGTTCTTCTTTGATGGGATTTCTCGACTGCTGCCACATTGGCAAAAGTGTGCTGATTCGAATGGTGCTTATTTGGATTAAATCCGATGAGTGTTAAGAAAGTTATGATCGTTTAAAGTTAAACACCCAAAACGCTAAGAACTTTCCGGACAACCTAATAACAGGTAATAACTGGGTTACGACTCAGCCTCCTACGCATCTGGAGGAAGCAGCGTCTAACACCTCGGTTGGCGCGTACGTTTTCGTTCGATAAATTGGAAGTTGTGATGACGATGCAGCATTAATAGTATCGCGTTCATTGAACGAACATTGCCTCGGCAATGGGCCGATCCCGTCTGAAGACGGTACATTTGTATGTTCTTTTCATTTTCGCCCAAGTAAACGCGCCAGAAGAAGCAAGAAGATCATGTAATCTAGCAAGTCCTTAAGAGAAGCAACAAACTAAAAAATGATCAAAAATTACAATTTTCAGAGAGTATGGAGCAAGGCAGCCTTCAGTAAAAGAACAGAGAAGAACACAAAAGAGCAAAATGCGAAGAGCAAAATGAAAAACGCATTTGAGCGCAATTTGCGAGTCAAGCCCTAAAGACCAGCAGTGGTCAATGGAATAAAGTCTTGTTCTTACGGTGATCTTCTCCCGGGCGTGTCAATGTAGCAGGCCTGCAGCGCGCACCGAACCCGGTCTCCATCAGTTGTATGGCCGGTAAGCGGCCCAAGAACCGATGAAAACGATCAATACGAACGATATTATGCAGCCTGTTGCTTGCGCTGAGAAATGAAGAAGAAAAAAACGAGCTGCGGCCACGCCAAAGCGTCGAGCTTCACGACCCGCCCCCCGCCCCGAATCCTCCCGCCAGCAGCCATGACTGTGGTTATCCAATCCGTCGGATTAACTAATCGAGGGGCTGGTCCACGTTGCTCGTAGGGCGGAGTTACTATGATGACTGAGCCGTCCTATTTGGTGCACCCTTCCTTTCCCTGCACTTATGGAAAGGATCGTCAGCGGCTCAAAAGCCACTCTGCTCCATGGCTTTAAAACTGATGATGGAACCTTTGAAACTTATCGATGAACCACATACAGGTCAAATGGCAGCGCCTGCAAAAGTTCAGCACCCTCCGGAACAAAAGTAAGTCTGCAAGCCTGCGTCCGTCTGCCACTTTCTCAGGCTTAATAATGAGCGTACATAAAATTGGTCGTGCGCGATAAAAAATGCCCGGACAGAATGCTGCTCGAGCAAGGTATCTCGGCAGAAAAGCACAACATACATCCGCTCCTCCCCAAAAACACATCAGATCCAAGGAAAAAGTGTACTGCGTGGCATATCCCTGGAAGAAGCCCGCTTTCCTTAGCCCCGCGCTCAACGAATAACCTGCCAAGATTGCCTCTGATAAGTCTTACATATGACGCCGGTGATGTTTGATTACTCGTCTCAACTCTTGACTTAGATTAAGAAGATCTTCAGAAGGAGTGGGGGGGCGGAGGGCGAGAATGGCATTCACTCTCACTCAGTCCCAGTCTCGATGATAGTGAAGAATGCTAGTGTGGCGGCCACTCTTAGTTATGCTTGCACGCGATCGTGCACGTGGCAACTAGCTTCTTTTCGGGCACATTTCCGAGTGGTGGAGGAAAAGGCGCGACTGCTAAAGTGGAAGTGAGAAGGATACACTTTGTATGTCAACACCAAATTACTCCCAATACCGTCTGAGACGAGCACACAGATAAGGGCGGAAGCGTGTCTAAGCGTCATGGGGCGCATATTCTTCTGGCATACTGAAGCTAAGCAAACCTCTCA